GCACGAACGTCACTCACTCGTGAAGGGAGGAGAAAAAAGAAGTCTTTAGGCAAGCTCCGAAAGAATAAGGAGAGCCATAGAAATACCTTCATGGACTCACGCCTTCGACATCACATCGTTCCCAAAAAATATCTATTGAAAAAAAAAAAAAACTGCGCAGTTACACTACACGCAACCACCGCCGATAGAGCGGAAATCAAATTATAAAAATAAGAGAGGAGGATTTTGATTTTCCGATATTGTGGAATCGTCCGCGGGCTAAAATTTTTCATAGACACGTGAAAACACGAATGAAGTAAAGGGCATTTCACGAACTTCTGAAATTGAGAAAGTTGAACAATATCGACTAATGTTGCAGCGGCAATTGTTAATAATAAAAATAATCTTCACACTGAAAATTGTAACTATCTCCATGACTAGATCTCATCATTTTCCTTGGATCATCTAAGTTCACCTTCCACTTTAATCATTCTAAATTGCAATGAAGTCTAGTACTGTATTCAGTAACACATGGGATGCACGAAATTCTGGTTTTTGCATTACTGTAATGCTTGTTTTGAATATTTTTTCCTGAACATGGGTATACATCTCGTTCGGGGTTTCAACCGATTACCTATTTCCGTACCTATTGCGTACCTACCTTGACTGGGAAGAAAATAATTTGTCTCCAGAAATTATCTGCGAACAAAAAGTATTCACACGCAACTGCCCTTGGGAAATCTGAAATATCATTATTTTCTTTTCTGATATAAAGATGAATAGTTCTAGTCAAACTTGAGTTTTTCCACAGGAAGTGGATAATAAAAGTTAGAACACAGATATATGTAGGACAAAGTAATGCACCTGGTTCACCCTTAGAACTGCTACTCAACCTCTGGACATTCCTCATACTGTCAGGAGTACGTACCTCTGCAGGGAGGTGTCGCTGATTTCATGCAGTCAATTTCCATGCTACATTTCAATTTGATCAATTCTAGCATTCATCACGTTCCTATGCTATTACATTGCAATTTAGGCGTTGGTTTAGATTATAAATGTGTTCGGCTAAGTTTAAATGCTTAACTCTTCAGGCATGGAGGTAAGCAGCCTGTGGTTTTGGTTTTCCAGAGGTTATAGTTAAGCCTAATCCTATGCAACACATAGTTTATCATCTGGAAAATTAGAAACGACGTCAAATGCTTTCTGCAAGCACTAATGCGAGATTATAGCAATCAGTCACAGATTACAGCAGCACTGAAGAAAATGACTCTGCAAAGCGAAAATTCCCAAAAGTTAGAACCCACGTCTTAACGATATAACATGCTTGACACGCGTTCACAGCCTTATTCGCAGCAGGCAATCGAACGCAGTCGGCGGCACACAGAAACACTNAATGCTTCAAGCTGCAAATATAACATCCATAGATTTCTTCAGTCTGGATGTAGAAGGACTTGAGCTGAAAATTCTCAAAACTATTGACTGGGATTCCATCCACATCAAGGTATATTCATAAGAAAATAATTTGAATGTGTATGCTGTAGTTGACCCCCACACAACAGACTTAATTGTTGTAACAGACTTGTCCATTATGTGAAAAGTCTGTTATGAAAATTCAAATGGGAAGCAAGGGGGAATGTGAGGGATGACTCATGTCCAACATGTTGGCATGCACTTCCATGCAGGCTGAAGTCTGTTATGTGGATTTTTCTGTTAGGCAAGAGGAAAAACTGTCTCCAGAGGTAGTCTGTTACATAAAAATCTCTTGTGCAGGGGTTGACTGTATTTCCATGTGAAGAAATGAAATTGTATCACCTCCAATATTCTCAATAGGTGATTCACATGGATTTACTCCATACTGAAGAAGGGGAACCAGCAGTTCATGAATACCTGAAATCAAAAAGTTACCGGCATGTTTATGGGAGTGGTGAACCAGTTTTGTTTGTGAAAGAGTCATATTTGAATTCATTGAATGAAATTGAATCATAATTTGGATATGCCGGAAAAAACTCAACAATATGACTGCCATTCATATAGACTGCTTAGACCAGGGGTGCCCAAGATACGGCCCGCGGGCCAGATCTGTCCCGCAGAGGCTTTTCATATGGCCCGCGGAGCCAGCATGGAAAACCTCCACAAAAATTAAGACCCTCAAAAGGGAAAACTTTCAAGTTTTTCAAGATGTCTTCAGCCTGCAATTTTGATTAGGAATTTTAATAAGGCTTCATAAATTCTGTTATGATTCCTTCTAGCCAGAAAGAACAGTTTGCATTGCTTTGTGATGCCAGTCATTCTGTTTTTCAGATGAAAGGACAGGGTTTTGCAATTTTGTAATTCAAATCCTACCCCAGCATTTTCTGTTTGTTTTTAATTTAATTGCATATCTTGATGAGGGAAAGATATAAAGCAGCTTAATTTTTTTAATAGCATGAACAAAAGTAGAACATCATGTAAAATGCAAATGTGAAGGGATATAGACAAATTTAGAAGGACAATTCAACACTGGGCCAATTGAGATGGAAAATTTGAGTCAGGGTCAACATGAGATAGGGCTAAGTTGAGACACAGGGCCAATTTGAGACAAAGTGCCAATTTGAGCCAGGGTGATTTAGTGACAGGGACACTTGGAGACATGGACATTTAGATACAAAGACAATTTGATGCTCTCCCAAATCAACTCTGCACAAAATATGTTTCTTTCTTATACACTTTTTTTTAGCTTTCTCCAGATTCTTAGTGAATATTGAGGAGTTTTCAATTGCACTAAAATTTCAGGTTGTCCTCAGACAATGTAATTATTATTATTCTCAACGTTTAAATTCACTCATAGTTTTCAGTTAATACTTACTGCTATTGGACTTTGGTTGAATCTTTTTGGAAAGTTTTACAGATTGAATTCTATGATTCCATTAAGAAAAATCCAGTCATAAGTAATGAAGATACAAATTGAACTGTATTAGTGAAAATGAAGCAGAAAAGTTTGCAGATGAAAAAAGTCAGATAGCCAGATAATGACATTCTTGAAATTCTTATTGAACTTGATTATAGACTAGAACTTGATTGCTAATAAATTAGAATAGTTTAAAGTTAAACCATCCCAGAAATTCATGAATTATACAATGTACTGGACAACATTTCTTCCTTTTTCCCATTGTGGCCCGCATAATGATCTTCTACTTCAATGTGGCCCTTGGCCACTTTTGAGTTGGGCACCACTGATCTAAATCCATACCATAAATGTACCCATAATCACATAAAAATTCAGAGCACTTCGTCGCTAGTCAGGGAAAACTTTACATCCACAGCACGAATTCGAGGTACAAATTAGCCATACAACAACGGCAAACGGGACATGTGAATGACAAAGTTAGTGACAACGCGTCCCAAGGGCGCACACACGTGGCTGCTGATGCCCAGACAACAGTGCATGCTATCGACCGAACAAAGAGCAACAAGGAGCAGCAGCAGCAGCAGCAGCAGCAGCAGCGAACAAGTGAAGCACGCGACGAACACACAAAAGACCCCTGCATCCTTTTTTTGTACGACAAAATGTCTTTGTCATATCCCTCATCAGCGATGAAATTTAGCAAGCGGTAGTAACGCAGTCTAGCGTGAAATTACATGGCTGAAAATGTGACGAGCGATAATTATAGGAGATCGTTGATTCAATTTCGATGGAACCCCTCTGATTTTTTTTTTCGAGCCACTAGTGCACTTCGAAATGAATTACGGTACTATACAACATTTTATTTTGGATCGAATCGGATCGATTATATTCAATTAGACGAAACCCCCCTTTCAACGAAATTATTTACGCTTGAAGAAATAAACGACGTCACTTCAAAAAAAGATCCAGGCTGAGCATCAGTGAATGGGTTTTTCATGAAATACGGCAGACTTCTTGATGATCACTGAATTCAGATTCATGGATTTTAATTGAAAAGGGAGTCGAACTTCGTTGATTACCTTAACATCATTCCAAATTTCTGAAGATTCTTTTTCAGGCATTTCCCCTAATAAGCTAAACCAACAAACGCAATCGAAGAACTTTGAGGGATAATCGCTTTTACCTCATTCTCGCTTCCTGTGAAGCAGAACTCGCGAAATCGCTAATTCACGGGATATTTAGTATTGTCAGAATACCACAATCAACCAATATGTATACAGAACAGCGCTTATTCAAGAAACATTACACACGTGTAATGAAGCAGAAATAAATTAATGACTTTCTGAAACTCAATCTTCGCTTGTATTTCGTGCCAAGCGACCGATGCAAAAATAATATAGCAAATAGCGGTTTTAATAGAGTTCTGCTAAAATAATCTTTGAAATATAGAACAGCGAAGAGACGTTCCGGATCTTCGAGACGGAAAAGATCATTGAAAAGCTTACGTGCATCCCGTAGGTCCTATTTCCTGAAAGCAGGACAATTTTCTTTAAAATTTTCCAGATGCCGAACACGCCGGTTAGGAGTAGAGGTCACAACAATTGTTTTAAAAATCGTTGTGTTCTATCTTCATCAGCATGTAATAGGCTATTATTTCATTCAACACTAAATCGTTCAAAAATCGACCACGATGTTAATTCAGTCGTTTTCGATGTAAGACTTGTGCATGAATTGCACGAATTTGGAGAAACCCGCGCATTACATGAATTTCTTATAATTAAAAGGTAATCATATCATTGTTGAAAACGATACGCTTCACATATACGTAGGAAAGGCGCAAAGATGACTAGTGTATAACTCGAACTAATGCTGCGTCCCATGCACAACATGTAAGGCTTATCTTTAGGCAGTCGTCAAATCATTTTTAAGAACCTTGTGTTTCAGAATGACGCAGAAAATAAGGCGTAAATTGAAGCGATTCCTTCATCTGTAACACGATCATGTTCATAGTCTTTGATCTCCACAAACTACCCACATTTTAAAAGAGCATACAATTTGTAGGGTTCAAGGCTGTAGTCTCAAACCCCGTCTTCCTCACCCAGACTGTCTGCCAGACAACAAACATTTAATCACTCACCATTGCAATGACGTCACGACGCTGGCCACTTTCGAGAGACATGATCCACCAGATGGCGCGGAGTAAGCCGGCGTAGAAAACCAGCGTGACCAGATTGCGCCAGTCGGCAAGAGACTCCACCAGCGGCACCGTGCCCATTGTCCAGTCGCAGCAGAGGTCGCAGGGAAACAAAAGGAGCCAGAAATTCAAGCCGAGCAAGTACTGGTACGTCAGCTGGCGCGCCGGGGAGCCCGCGGCAGCAGCCGGGTTGTCGAACCTGCGAAGCAACAGAACCAGACAAGATCCAATCAGTCCCTCGTTGTGCAGCCCCCGCGCTCGTCAGCAGCGGCCCCGACGTCTTCGTCGGAGTCCTCTGTTGCTTTTACTCGGGTACGGTTTCCCTTTTTCCATGGGTTTTCTCTCGCACCAACCCCCGCCCTTCCATTCCCCCCTTGGGGGCGCCCCGGTGTGGTTGTTAACAGCAGTAGAGCGGCCACAACACACCACTGACGCGCCCGGCTCATTACTCGCCGCACAACACGGCAACAAACAAAAATCAACATGGACGACGACGGAACACCTCCATGTAATATAATGCCTAAGTCTGATTTACTTTCAGAAGCCTGAATAATAGAAAATGGCAATTGAAACTGTTCCCTCATTCCAACAACAAAGAAAAAATTATTTGCTCAAATACCACGCGCATCTTTTCTTTCAATTTGAGAGGAAAAAGGAGGGTGAGCGTCATACGCGGGTATAAATTTTTCGAGGAGTTTTAAAAATTTCGGTGTGCATTAAACTTGCTTTTAAGGGGACATTTTGGATCAAGTTTAACAGAAAAACTTACCTTAAAAGAAATAACAATTGAAAAATGGTCGAACTGATGTCAATTCATATCCAAATTTAAATTTCGGCGTTCCTATACATTTGCAATATTGTGTTTAGGAGCCACTAAAAATGGGATGAGCGTATAACTCGGGGATATGATTTTGATTCCTGAGGGAGAAAAAAAAAAAAAAAAAAACCTGGTGAGCGTCTTACTTGAGGACGCGTGGTACTCGAGTGAATACGGTAACTTTAGACAGAGCTTCTTCCGCAAAAAATTTGAATAAATTAGATGAAACGGGTTACGCTTTTACGCAACCTCCTGGAAAAATTTGAGCGAGTGCATCATAAAAAAAAGGAAACAACGAGGAAAAACTGTACTTCGTTTTAGACGAAGCTCGATAATGTAATATTCATACAGAGGATTGGGGTTCTTTTCGACTTATTACTTTTGAATACTCGCACGCACGAAGTCCGAAATCATTGATTTCGCCGAGTTATAGAATAAATCAACAAGGCGCCACTGAGTCGTATAGCTCAACCCGATACACGCCATTGCAATTTACTGCTCACGTGCAGTCTTCGAGATTACAATTACTGTACACTGTAGTTCGATTTAAAAAGTAACTGCGACGATTACAAAGCTCCAGCGGCAAGTCAATTAAAGAGGCTAACTTTATCGCCATCCAAACCTTTTACCTGAATGAATTATGCACAGAGCTCGAATGCCGCTTAGTCAAATAGCAATCAAAACAGCCAACGGTTTCATGCACTGTATTGAAAACATTTCCAGTTCCAAGCAAGCACGACATCACGCAATTCCCAAAGGAAAAACGCATAGACGAACTAATACAGTAGTTCTCTATATTTGAGCAACTACTGTAAGAGGGAATGCATATAACGCGAACATACTAATTAATGCAGGACTCAACCTCGAGGTGCATGTAACGGAAAACACATTATTCAAAGCTTGAAAAAAGGATTTAAAACTGAAGTTGGAAGTCGAAGCCCGTGGAAAAACGCAAATCCTCGACTTCGCTCTTGAACGGTTTCTCGCATACGACTTTGACGCAGGATTATGACATTAATTAAGTACACCATGCTTGAATGCCCCCGTTATTGTCAATTAAGACGAAGCTAAAGAAATGCTTTCCATGCCCACGCCAAGCTGAGTGTATTCCCTGTTGGGAGAAAAATATGTAAATTCAACCCTGACAAAAATGGGATACACTCTTATGACGTAAGTTAAATTTCAACCGCGTAGTTCCACACACGATAATGGAAGGCATCAAGAAGCTCGGTCATTCTGTAAAGCCATAAAATTCATGCGAATACCATGCAAATCTAAGCAGAAAACTTCAGCAAACTTCGGCGAAATAATTACAGAGCTCAATATTGACGAAATATGTTCGGAATGTGCGTTAAATGCTTCACGAGTAGGCAATATTGTTGAAGGAATTTTACCAGGGGAACTTAAGAACCGAAAATTTGAGCATTATGAGAAAAGGAAGTTAATTTCATATTTCTTTCTACTTGAATAGTAGGAAATGTGAGTTTTTTTTTAAATCACGAAATCGTATGGTCATACTTTTTTTTAAATAGTTTGTGAGGTGCCTGAAAGTACGAACTAACTCTCATCTAATGACTAGATCATGATGCCATTTCTAGGTGACAGTCAGATAAGAAAAATATATATCACGAATTTTAATTGTCAGAAAAACTACATTCGGTCTATTCCCGCTGATGAAAGAAGCTGAACGAATACCGAATAAATACGCGGTGTAAAAGGCGACACGGAAGGAAGGATGATCCTCGCTGTCGCACTCGTAAGCCTCAAGACCGACGCCACGGGACGCGCAAATATTGGCACACGAGGAAGCTAGGCGTCCGGCAAGAAGGGACATCGCAGTCACCAAGAAACCCCCCGGTTTATCCCCTACTTTTCCCGCAGCTTAGTACACGTCCGAGACGCCAAAAAAATATAAATGAATAAAAAAGAGAGAGAGAACCATCGCCTAAACCGTCTGTTCCGCCACCGTTTGTTTGCACCCACGATCATGATGGATGGCCACGTCCGGCAAATGTCGACGCAACGTAATTCAACTATCCACAGGGCGATTCCAAAACTTCCCCAAACTTCAAAATTTCAATATTTGATGCAACGGGAACCCATTTCAATGCTCGAACGCCATGGAACTATAATACAGTACTGTAATACATTCAGAACCACACCTATGAAACGTGCGTTAAGTGAACACGATGATCTGGTACAAGGTGATCCGCGACCTGCCATACCCAGAAAAACCTGAATGATTTCACGGAGTTATAAAAATTTTAAAATTAAATTTATTCAAATGGGACATTGAAAAATAAAGAGGGAACATGTTGGCACCATCAGGACCAGTTCCAAATCCCTCGGAGAAAACCTTTCATTTGAAATTGAAGACATATCCAATTCTGTTTTTTCACCGCGAAATTACCAGGAAAATAATATGTAATTGCTTTCTCGTGGATACCATGATTTGTCCATAAATTATGATTTCAATAGAGAAGATTCGTTGTACCAAGCAAGGAATCTGCATTTTTTCTGAATACAGGCATCAGTTATACCCGTCCGAAAAGGCAAAAAAAAATCCATTTTCATGTGATAAGTGAAAAACCCTTCTGAAGTTTAAACGGTTTTTCTTGAAGTTTTTAGCCAAATCTTGTCAAGAAGAATTTCATAAAACCGTTCAATATTCCCCAAATATTCACGCCTTTGTGGGTCCAGGAAAGTGTGCCTCCTTCTATATAGTCCAGAACATCCAGGCACCAAGGCGACATCGGACAAGTCCAGAATTGAAGAAAAAATACAATCCACGAAACAAAAAGGCAAATCATATCAAAATCGATCGCGGTTGGAGCCCATGAAAACCCCCCGTTCGATACAGATCCATCACAACAGGCTCATAACCCGGGATTTTGAGACATTCTCAGGCCATAATCTTCACCTGATGCCCGCGATTTCATCGCATCTCGTGCGGGGTATTTTTTTTCCTTTAATCCTCACACACTCTCGACGAAAATCCGCAAGAATGTTCTCGATTCTTTTCCTTCCACTCAATGTAGCTGAAATCACAGCAATGCAAGCCGTTTCATCATGAGGGATTAAAACTGGAGCAGCAACAAAAATCCTCGTTTTCTTCCTCCGAACACGAAACTTGGAGTGCTTCGCTTCCCGGGACTTAGCAGAAATCTGATTAGCTCATGAGGGAAAAAGAAAGAAATTTGTATCATGACTAATTGCTTTGCAATTCCCAGATACATTCGAGTGGCTTCCTTTCTGCATTTTTCCCCTCGTCTAAAACCGGTTCGAAGCAGAGCTTACTGTAGTATAATTTCCTACCCAATCTCTCCCTTTTTTTGCCAAGGGATTATTTCGACGTTCCGCCGACTGCATAAAGCGATTGAAAAACAGAATGTCGTCGGCGAAAAGCTTCAGGAAAGAAATCACGGCTGACATACACGCGTTGGTTCACAATAAGGTCAATCAGTGTCGTGCTGTTCCAACACTTTTTGGAAGGAAATGAATGAACGTATTTCTCAAGTGTTTTCATCATCTCTGACCACTGTTCCAAGCTTTGGTCACGCACAGAGGAAATGAACAGAAGACCCTGAAAAGTGCGAAGGGGAACGGAAATTCGCCCGAGTCAGGGTAGCAACGGAACAAAACCCTCAGCAAACAAGCAGTGGCTTTCTGTGAGTCTGTTTATTGATTTCACAATAGTTCGCAGGATTCTAAACTGACAGGTCCCGGTTTCCGAATAATTTCATCTCAAGATACAAACATCGTACAGTAATCCTGGTTTGAATAGGTCTCATTCCCTTCATAATTAATTTTGATACCGTACCAGTACTGTATGAGCATATTGCCCATCCAGTTCAAGGGAAAGCGATGTTTCATTAACCGAATATGATCCTCGGCCAAATTACGGAATAGCTCGCCATGAACAAAAGTCCATCTATTTCATCTGTCAATGCCATCGGTGACTTGCCAAGGACGAGACTTGCGTGTCGACCGGGGCACAAATGAAAGAATAAAATATTTCATCAGAGGAATCCAAAGATAATTAATTAATCCCCACGGATCTAGCGAAGAATGGCGAACGTGACACCTTCGCTCCGCTTTGGAATAAAAAGGGGGGGGGGGATATTAGCGAATAAAATAAATAATGAGAAAAAGTTAGCGACGAAGCACGAAAAAGAATCGCTTCACACACCCGGGGTGGCACGTCACGCAAGTGCAGACAATCTATCAAAATCCCCCCTTTCGAACACCGTGACACCTCATCGTCGCTAATTCAGCAGCCGCGTGTATGCAGCACGCGAGTAACAAAATGAGGAAAAAATGACACCCCCTGCATTTCAGCTCGTGAGGGTTGCCGAGAAATCGTCGCCAAATGTCAACTTGACTGAAGCGCAGAAAATCAAATTTGAAATACAGTAACAGCACCCCTGAAATTGGCTCAATCACGCTGATGAAAATCACGTTTGAAACATTCTTAAACTGTAAAATATGTCCTATACCTGCTCAAAGAATTAGACCTGCATTCGAGATAATCTTTCTGCTTTGAACTACTTCGGATGTTACAGCTGGAGCAAACAATTTCTTGGTTGAAAAAAAAAAAATTCAACATCAAGGCTGGCAACTCTTCTGCTAAAGTAAAATTATATTTTTAGTGCTAGAATATGCCGATAAAAAAGAAGGCACACAATAAGTAATACATTATATATGTACGCTTAAGCTACATTTCTCCCGATGAATTTCCCGAATTTCTTGCGTCCTACAGTCGCGTAAATACAGGAAGACCCATTAGGGTATACGAGTAAATAACACAACCATAAACCCTCTACCGTGCGGACGAATACGAAATTAAGAAAGAATGTGAAGCCGCAAACCTAGTTTTGAACAAGATATATCAGCGAGTCGTAGGCCTGCACGCAATACGCTTCAGCCAGCCGGAAAAAAATAATACAACCGTAGCAAGACTTGATAACAATAGAAGGAAAAAGTCGCTGAGAACCGCGATATCAAAAACCCCCGCTTGACCGGAAGAAGATAAACCTTATCAAGCTGACTAAAAGCTGGAATATAAACAAATAATAAACCTTGCAATTCACGCGTGTCAAAAGCAGTTTGAATTGCATGTGTTTCAACCGATTTTTTGCTATATTGTACTCTAGAAATTTAGAAAGCCTCTCCAGAGAATACTACATACACATACCAATAAATTAAATTATCTTACAATGAACACCGTTTCCAAACAACACATTCAAGTCGAAATTTCTAAGCGATGGAGTGGGTTCAAAATGAGTCATTCCAATCCCGAAATGAACACTTAAGATTAACTCGCCGTCAACTTAAAAAAAAAGTCCAGTATTTCATGCGGAAAAAAATCTTACCTCGTGAAAACTGGCAACTGTGAGCCCATGATCATGACTCTGCAAAGCAGCAACACGAAAGCACCAGCAACAAGCGTAGCAGTTCGGGCCATGGCACTGCCGAATCGAGCAGGGATAGAAAACTTCCCATTCAAAACTCCGTTACCGGCACCAAGAACCTCTCTCAATGATATCTGCAAGTGAAACATGCACAGAACAATAAGACAACCAAAATAAATATAAATATGATACCAGGTGACCTAACGAATACAAAATCGTCGATGGGATCAAGAGAAAACTTTCCAAAAAAAAAGTTGAAACCCAAGGTGTTTTTTAAAGTCGTTGGTATTCTGTTTTAAATTGAGCCTTAGATTCGCAGGCGAAGCTCATGATTGTTTTAGACCAACAAAGACTTCATGCAAACAAATTAATTTTATATGTTACTTCAACAAATATATGCGAATAATTTCAGCTCTGAGAAAAATATCAAATCCGGAACTGTTCGAAGATTTCAATAGCAACTCAGGCATAAATACAAGGAACAAACTGCACTGCTTCTGGAGAAGTTGAAGGCATCAAAAGCGCATCTTTGATTGGCAAACAATCCATTGAAAGCCAGAAATAGCGGCACGTACAGGCATCGAAGCGTTTCATTTTCAAGTTATGGCGGCAATACAAACCTTGGAATCACAAAAATAGATGTTCATCGTACTCATGTTCATGTCCATAGATGTTCATGCTTTTACTCATCGTAGAAAGAAAGAAAAAACCGAAGGCGTTTCTACAACTCGAAAATTGGACCATGAAACAAATAGACAAACGATTCCATGACGTTTGCAGAGATACAGCAATGATCGAAGGAAGCAGCAATAATTCAAAGACTGTCGGTGAAAATGGATCATGGTTTGTGATCATATTCGCATAGAAATCAGGCAATAATAATCCACACCAGGAAGTTGTTCGGAGATAATCAAAATTCATGCCCGATTTCATGGAAGAATCGTTACGTTATTCCCGTCGGCATTGCGTGACTTGTAATTCGTGGTTTCGTATTTCTCATGAATTACTGAAAACGAATATGACATAGGCAGGTAGAACAGCAACTGTGGTAATGAATATCATCCACTTCACAAACTAACTACAAAAATGAATCCTAATATAATTGGTACATTGTTTCTGATCTGTGAAGCGTACAACGGCAGTGCCAAGCAAAAATTGAATATGAAACGGATTCTCGAATGCGAATTTCCAATTGAGACGAATTGAAATTCAGTGGTTCTTTATTTCCTATCCTGAACAAAGGGCTTAAAATGCAACATTGATCGTGTTTCTAAAAAAAAAATTACCTTCACATGAAAAAAAGCAACACAATTTCCATCGCCCCTTTTAATGTAAACAACACCGATAAGAATAAATTTTAGACAAAAGTCATCCTGCATCGTACAATGTTTAACGCCAAGTTTCAACATAGAAAACAATCATATTAGCCATTAATTTATCGAAGGCTCAAAAGTTCAAGATTTTCAGTCTTGATTCCTCTGAAAACGGTATAAGTATTGGGAACTCCTAGCCTGGTTTTTAAGGGGCAGTTAAGTATTCGTATGTTCCATGGTGCTTTTTGATTTAGCCCGCACCTAAAGTAAAAGTTGTTTAATGTGGGTGTAAGTCGTGCTTGAGGGTAAACAGTACACTACTGAGTTTCCACAGTGGCAGCTAATCATTTTGCAGGAATCGCCTGGTAACAAGCGGACTCAATCCCCGGGTTACAAGTTACAACCAACTCAATGAGCAGTAAGAAGCCGGCGGGATGGACCGGGTGGAAATTAATTTTCTACCATGACCCATTTCGCGGAACACGTTCCGGCTGCTAAACTCGAGACACACTACCCAGATGAGCAACGACTTTCGCGGAAAGATGGGACACCTGGTACATGTTACACGAATGGGGTTCCAGTCAGCGAAAAGGACAAAGCAAGTTGAATCGCATTGCGAACGCAACCGCAACGGAACTAGCACAATTAATCTATGCAAATGAGCCGAGACACCCTCTGTCACGGGGACGCATAGTAGGTATACGTGTGCTGGCACAAAGACACCGAACTCCGACGAAGGAGAGTTTCTTTTTCTGATTAACCAGATGATCAATTGAAACATGATATTGCTCCTGAAATACAGCACACCAATTTACTATTGTACAGCTTTTACGGTAATCAAAGAAAGGTTAAATTTAAATGATCATGCGATACCCATACATAATGACGAGTAAAATGATAATATCCAACTACTGTACTGTACTAGTCGTGACTCTGAAACGAAATCTGAAACCCTCTCACGGAAACCTCACAGAGAAGCGAAACATCTTGGGACCTTTCCAACATTCTCAACAAGCATCTCGTGAGCATGTTAATCATTGTCAACTGCAGGTGGCTTGAGAGTAATTTCGACTGTCGGCGGGATAAGGTATCTTTGACACAAACCAGCGCCAGCACCTTTCTTTGACACGTTGATTTGAAAAACGTATTCGTTCAGAAATAGGCAAAACAAAGTTGAAATAAAAGAAATCCGTTCAAAGTAGAAAATGGTTCATCGCTATCCAAAACTTCTTCTAAGTCATGAAAAAATAACTTCGGGACTTGGAAGTCATGAAACGTGAAGGCACAATTTGTATCTTCCATGTGGAAATAATTTCCCTGAATTTATACTAGAATCGAAACGATTCAATCAACGACGTTTTTAGAGACCTGGACTCTTGAAGTTTAAAATCATGAAGTCGAACATGAAGTTTCATGAAGTTTGATATTGAATGCACCACGAAATACCGTACCCTGAAAACACGTTCGTATACAGGTGTGAAAAAATTAAAAAGCAGTACTGAATTCCGAAGGGTACAAAATTTACAACACAGCGCGAATTAAACAACCAGTAAAAAAAATCAAGCATTTATTTTAGTCAGGCGCATAAAGTTATTTTTGCGAGTTCACCCTAGAAGTTTATTGGCGTTTATGAGCGAGTAGACTGAGGAAGTCGTACAAGAACTAAAGAAATGGAGTCCATTTTTAACGTTCAACTAGTTAAATTTGTACTATCTGCTCTCGAAATACAATACTTTCGTTATTGCACAACTTCTTCGCCTTTCTTACAATATCTTCAAGAAAAAATTTTCAAAATAATCAAGACTTTCAAGTAAAGATAAAACCTGAGGAATCCAACGTGAAAATTTTATATTTCTCGTTTGAGTGATTGCAACGAACCTTTTGAACGACGAGGAATTCGTAGACTGCACATATCCCAATGACAGTGATCCCTTGCTCCTTGCTCAGCATCGCAGCCGCGACGAGCCCGACTGTACACAACAGGTAGCCATACTCTGCAAGAAGAGGAAGAGAAAATATTAAGATTAAATGAAGCACGCACAAATGCATCCAAAATATTTTAAATCTATGAGGAGATACCCCTAGTCCGTACCGCATAGGAAAGATCGGAAAAATGAAGCAAGTCAAAGCTTGGAAAAATGACGCATATCAAAGCTTGGAGGAATGATGCAACGAAGGCTACAGTAGTATCAGTGGCACATCCAGCATAACTCCTCTCTGTCGCGATAAACAACCCGGGCGAGAAATAAGAGCACACAGAACTCCATTTCAGCAACACGGATTGCCAATAAATTTGTTCCCCGAAGACATCTTGACGCGAGAATAGCAGGAAAATAATCTGAACCAACTTCTCCAGATTCTTCTATTCAAAGCAAGGTACGTACGCAGTATTTCGCGGAGTGCGGCGATACTTCGACAATTCAGAAAAGAAGACAAAACAAAAACGCATTGGAGCAGTGTCCAATATCCAAGCGTGGTTCGGAGAAAAAATATAGTGTATCATCAGCTTTCCGACAAAGAAATGAACCCTGTTTCCTTTCCACGCTTCTAGTTGACGTTTTAAAAGCCCGGAAACTGTATTACACCGTAAATCATCAGAAGTCGGAATCATCAAAAGAGTTATATCTCTGCATTTCTCGGGGAAAAAGGTTCCGATCGGACCCTCTGGGATCGAGGTCTTGGGATTAGGGCTTCATTGAAGACATGAGCTACGACCGGAGCCAAAGAGACTTTGAAATTTTATTGGGAAATTGAATCCCATCAAAGGCTGTAGATCCTGAAACCGAGAAAAAAGTACTGTATCTCAAACTTGATTTATGTCCAAAAACCAACAAATACTTTATTACTGAACGCAGAATTCGCATCCCCCCTTTCAAGCACGTTCCGACACTACATCCAGACGTTACGCAGATAGCTTTGTAAATCATTCACGACTGCGGATTTTCTCTCGCCAGTCTGCAAGATTAATATTCTATCCCCAAGCAAACTCGTGCACCGATCGAAGCGAGTGGCTCATCGCAGTACTCAAGCGCACGTGCCGAACAAGAGTAAACGTATAGAAGTTTCCTTAAACGTCTTAGGGCCGAACTTCTAATTAGGAGCTCTCGTTGTGTGGCCTATCGTGAAATGGACTCTTTTTTTTTTTTTCTCCGGGCACGAGTTTAAAGTGAGTCCTTCACCACGACCAGTTATTTTGTTTATTTTTAAGTTAAAATAAGCATTTTATCGAAAACTCTTCAGCTTACGAGAGGTTTTTCAAAAGCCTCGCGACGGATTTCAGTCGAATGAAACATGATTAACTATTCTCGGGAGAATGTTGCTGAATCTGTCCAATTGAACAAGAGGCGGGGAAAATACATTTGCTTACCATTACTTCGTATAAGGGAATGATTTCCTGCATAGGAGAGAGTGGGTGTGTTAGTTCGTCAATAACGTCCTTGATGGTCTGTTAGTCACCAAATAATTAAAAATGCAAGAAAGCTTGCCCAGAAACAATGCTGCAAATATTTTCCAGCTCGTCCTTGATTTTTGTTTAATTTTTCAATTGCAATGACTGTCAGTGATTTTCCTAATGAATGGTGCTGACCAGTGAAAAACGGATAATGCTGATGGAACTGAGGAGGTTCTGATTGCACGTTTTTCAAAAGGCAGTTGAAAACCCATGGGTAGTTGTAGCAAATTCTTCGGGAAAATGAAACGTCAAATTTAAAGATCCTTGACAAAACGGAAGCATGGCGTTTTTCTTTTATTCTAGATACAGTGAGAGCTCTCTTAGGACTAACATGGAGTATTTTTCAAATATATTTTTCGACAGGATCTCATTTTCACCCAATTCTATGTTTTGCTTCACAAAATTCAAAAATTTTCAGAATGATTCACATTGCTTCATCAACCAACAATACAATTCGTTTCCTGGCCATTCCAGAAACCCATTTTATATGCAAAATTCTGCTTTTCATGCAAAACTAAAAATAAATTTACGCAGCCATGCCAAACCTTCGACACTTGGACAGTCGGGAATATTTCGTGCATTAATATTTTGTTAAGGTCGTTCTGTAAACAGGAGTCGGTGAACCATGCTTATTCCACGCGGTTTCACTACTCCGGTGAAATTTTTACACACACACAAAAAGTCCCAGGAAGACGGCAGTTTCCGCACGAGCATTTCCACGCGGGATTCAGCCTCTTAATCGCGGAGGGATGCATTAAAGCACCGTTAAAAAATATCGACTCCAGTTAATGTCTCACAGCTCCTCGATGAACTGCGCGTGAGGTAGTAATCTGCATACAGAAAGATGCAGCTCGAGGAGGAGATCATTAAGCCCGCAATGGCTTTTATCCTAGAAGCGGGTCATAAGGCATTCCGGTTCATCAAGTAAACGACGCAATGCATCCCTGGCTGGTACAAAAGGTCGCGGGCAACAGCCTCTTCTTCCCTTCTACCGGTCGCGGTTTTCATCACCGATGCGACACTTTCCCGCCCGTACGTTGATCCGACTTCACCCATCCAGACCCACATCCGGTACTTGGATCCCACCGGAAGTTCATAGCAGTACCTATTCCGCCCGCTTCAATGGGTTGATTTTAAAGGTTACTCATAATTCGAAAAATTGTCAACTCAACATAATAGGGCGAAAACGAGCACAAATCTTCGTGAGAAGCTAATACAGTACACTAGGACGGGTGCAGAAGTCTCTGAACAACGTTCCATTGCTGAAGGTGTCGCAGTGTTTTCTAGTAAGTTGTCTTTTCTTCGGGGGACAATGCTTCCAATATGATTGAAAGAATGAAAAAAAAACTCTTTCGAAAACCGGATTCCATGTACAGTAGGGCCCCGAAATGCAGATAGAATTGGTCCCTGGACCAATTGTACCTCTTTCGAAACGTCCGCATGTCGGATCACGTTTTCCCTTAGATTTCAATGGGCATATACAGAATTTAATTGGTTCTTGAACTTATCTTGAACTTCAAGAAACAGAAAATAACTGTGCAGAAGAAATCCACTCAGAATGAGCTCTTCGGTATGAATAGGAGCCCAAAACGCAACGAACAAGCACACATCTTGATACAATGAGCACAAATAATACAAAAAAACCTTTAAAAGGCACAAAATCAGCCTGTTTTGGAATCGAGTAAATTTTAATAAAATTTATTTTGAGTTCTGAATTTGTTGAAGAGATATAACAATTTCGAAAAATGCAATTTTATTATTTTCTAAAAGTTGTGGCGAAGTGTCCAAATCTCAACCATTGTCCAGATATAGGGTAGATTTTTTTTAGTTCAAGTTTCCAAAAAAATCTGCATCGGAGCTTCAATTTATTTCAGGGAAATGAGATGACAATATGAAACTGTTTTTCGCGGGGCTATGGAAGGCACTTCTATTCTTTTTAAAGTCCGGAAAACTCGGTTGCTGGAAATATTTCGGAAAATATACGAACACAGACCGCACAGGAATATCTCATATGTGGCCAATAGTACCAATAATGAAGTACGAACTTGTATATGGCATGCAGTCCATAGAACAAATGCATTGCTCGAAAAAAATGTTCGACATAACGTTGACTTAAAAATATAGTACAATCGGCGGATCAGAACATGGTGTGGCGTACCTTGTATTATATTTTCCACATGAGACATAAAAAATAATTATATTAGCAATTTTTTCCAATATGTAAGACGGATTTTTCAAGCTTTTTTTTCGCAGCCATAGTGGAGAGTCCTTGATGGACGCAGCGGAAGATTCTTGCTAATTGAAATCCCCTGTTCGCAAAGTAAACCAGAAAACGTTGACCGAAGGTTGACCTTGATTGAAAATCGCTTTCTGAATTTGGCACGAGCATTCATTGAATAAAATTAGATCCGTCCAAAAGGTTCCCTTATCGTTTTCGGGAACAGACGCGCAAGAGACCAGGATGAAAAGCTATTCAGATTAGACATAAACGTATGCAAGTGGGTAAGTTTTAATCGGCCAGAAGACTGACAACGCCGATAAGAAAAAAGGGGTTGCACAAAAAGCACTAGCGAACCGTGCTCTAGCTTCCAGTTCCAAAATAAAATAAAAAAGAAATACATAGCGACCCTGCTGCCTGATTACACTCCTGCCCGAACGCTTTTCCTTATCAGAGGTCATGAAAAATGCATCAGCAGGGAACCCGTCACACTGACATACGCCCGACTAAAGGTCGACTGTTCGCTCGCAAGATTTCGGGGGATTTCGCAACAAAAACTTTAGCTAAAAGAGGCTCTGGAAATCGGGTAATTTTTTTCCCCCGTCGAAGACCTCTTGTTTCGCACGATAAATTCATTTTAGATTAAAAATTAGAGACTCATGTCCAGAAGAAAAACCCGGAATTATTATTATTTCGGACAGCCGAAACACTCTTCCCGCGCAGTAAGTTTTTTTTTTTTTCGAGAGAGAGAAAATTTTCAATTATTGTTCTTTTATTTTCAGGCACGACGTATTCAAGTATGCCTAAAATTATCGAGCGCGCGATCAATTCATGGTATTTTCCTGCGAAACTAACATACCTCGCTCCAAATATACTTTATTTTGTCCTTGAAAAGAAATTGGGCATACGATCGTTTTTCAACAAAAATATGACCAGGATATGGAATAACTTTGTAGAAAAATAAAAATACACCGGGAATTATTTCAGGATTGATTTGCATTCATTTTAGGTTTCAAGTACATTCATGCAAAGCAATCACAATTGATTCAAAAATCCATATTATCCATTTCAGGAACATCATTACAATACTCCAGAGTGCAACCATCGAAACTCAACGGCACAAACATGGAAATATTTCTTTAGATTTAGTGTTAAAAAAAATAAAGACAAAAATATTTTATTCCAAACGGTACTTCAAAAGCTACTCCGATTTTGCGAAGCTGAACAAAATGTTTCAAAGGAGCCAGTCTCCGTACTACAGAACTTCGTATTGATGAGTTCATCGCCATGGCGTAGCAACGACGATAAAATCTTGATTGAATATGCGGCAAACGAACTCAAGTCTCGCGATGCAGAATTCGACGGGGGGGAAACGAAGAATATCTTCATTCCACGACTGAAATCGAAGAGCAGTTTCACATCAAGAGATCGGTTCCGGAGGAAATATCCCATAAAACAGTCAACCGCAATCCATAAAAGTTCCCTCATCATTAATGCTCCGAGGATCTTAATGGGCCAAGAAAAACTTCCACGAAAACCTGAAAATTATCATTCCGAAGGGAAAAAAGCAGCATTTCCAGAAAAAAATAGTGAATGACGGACAACGAACATGTAATTACGCAAACGGATCGAGCAGCACCGTTAAACATCATTGGCTTTAACTTTTGTGAAGAAAATCTATCGTATGCAACTACTCACGAAATTTCTTCAACAGCAAACAAAGCATTGCAAGCAACACTTGGTGTTTCTTCAACGTCGAAAACGAAGTTTGTAGGATCACGACCCCCGCCTCGTACACTCCACGACAGAGGGGGTAAAAAGTTGCTCGCGTATACGTTCGCGCCCATCAACTCCATCAGCCCATATTTTGCTCCCCTAGAAGCACAACTTTCTCGCATCAAAACCCCATCAACCATTAAGCTACACCTCGCCCAGGAAACTGGCCTTCTTTGACAGGGACCACCTAGAAAATGGGGGAACGGGGAAAATGCTGCTGACGTCCGACGTTCTCGCAACTCGCGTCAACGCGAATTTTAAAATGTTCACCTTTTCTATGAAATGTTTCCGTTTCGTCTCTTTCACTGATGAGTAAAAAAAGTGAGCGGTTTTTACAACAACCACAAAAAGGCATGCGGAACGAAAACAGGTTCGCCGATCGCGAAACTAGTAACCTCGAACGAGAGCATGTGAAAAACTTGAATTTCTTTTGGATTATTTCTTCAACACTCCATTCCACAAATATTAATGAATTCAAATATCTTGAAGTCGAAAGAGAGTCGAATGAACGTTGTTTCGACGTTTCTAATATTGTACAGTACCAAAAACCGCGACGGAACGAGAACAGGTTTGCCGATAGCGAAACTAGGGCCTTCGAAAGGTAGCACGCGAAAAACTTGCAGTGCTTCTAGAATCTAGATTACAGTATTTCTTGAACACTCTATTCCAAAAATATCAATGCACTGAAATAATTCGAAGTCGAATGAACGATGATTCGCCGCTTTTAACAATGTATCGCAAACCGTTACCGTTATTTGAATGTGTAACAATTGGTACTGTATACAGTAATTGTCCTACGGTCCAACCCTTGCACATATCCTGGCTTGTCGCTCAGCAGAATTTCGACCGAACATTGACGACCAAGGGGAAAATACGGTGGTGTAGCGGCTACCTTTTGAATAATTAATGGAATAACGAAGTTCAACTTGTAGTTTTGCTCGTGGAAAAATAGAGAAGAACTTCATTAAAAGGCGAAAATAAAAATAAAGCGACACAAATTCAATCGCGAAACGAGCGATGAAATATAAATCAACTTTCATCGTACACTAATCTCGCAGCAAGACATGTGAACACCGCACAGTACTTTTCTTATCGTCAATTCTGAAAATAAATAATTCATGGGCAATATGACTTCGGAGCCTTGGGACTCATCAGGAAGACTTTTATATCAAGTGTCATCCGAATGTTAGATTTCCGCAATAACTAAAGTCGAGCTCGTCAAGGTTGTGCACAGGGGACAGATAAAAGACGGAAACTTGACTCGTCGTTCACCGGCAATCGTCTGCCTGACCACCGAGATCCCAACATCCCAACTTGAAATACGGGACACGCACGCAATTAAGGCCCGCGACATTTCCCCCTCCCTTTTCCCCGTAACGGCGCAACTTTTCGGCCACTTTCAGGCAGGCAAAGTTGCTAATTTCCTCAGCCAGACGGAAAAAGGGTTCCATTTTCGTCCTCGCACTTTCCGGCCTACGCTCACGGCACTGGTGAGGTTCTGGAAGTTAGGAAAGTTAATGCGCAGAACGGGAACCTCATTACGTGTCGCAATCAACACGAAGCCTGACAATTAACTCCCGCAAGTTGGGCGAGACGCGTTTATCCAAGTCGAAAAACCAATCCCACCTCGGTGCTGCACTTGGGCGAGGAAACGTGAACCAGCAAAGAGGTTTAAAAATAAAATGAAAAAAAATACTAATCGGCTCTGAAATAAGACTTTCAGCAACGACAGATGAACGTAATCTCTTTACTTGCTGCAGTTTCTGCTTTTTTGCGCAAACTTTTTGTGCGGGATCCTTCGGGAGATCCTTTCATAGCAGATCCCCAAACAATTGACTTACCAAATAATAGCAACACTCTGGAATACAGTATACCGATTTGCTATTGGTAAATCAGAAACATCTGGACCGATGTTTAGTGGAAAAAAATGTCTGCCGAATCGCATTGGTTTCCTGCGGTTTGAATCGCTGCCAAAAGGAATTACGTTGATGCGCAAAAATTCGAAATCTGTGTTTTCGTGTTGTCACAAATGGCGGGACACAAGTCGAGAAACATCACACGACTGCTACGCAACACGGTTCGTAAAAACGAAAACATTAAAAGAAATGTATTAAAGATAGAAAATCACGGAGACAGCAACATTTCACGAACATTGTGCTCGTCAGTGATTTCACAAAGCGTATGCTGAACTTCTCTTTGAAATCCGAGCCCTGCTACAAGCTCCACTTCCCCCGCATCAACTCCCACGAAAAAAATATTCGACATCTCCGCATTACGACAGCATTTGTACGAAGACAAACACAGCGAGTCACATGTTTAAAAATCAGTACAGGAAGCTATGTAATTTCCTAGACCAATTCAATATATTTTCTTTGCTTTTGTCACATGAACGATCAAGCGGCCGAGACTCCGAAAATACGGAATTTTGAGCTACTCTCTACAGTCTACAGTTACAGTGAAAAGCAGGTCATGCGGAAATTGAAGTCGACCAAAAATAAAAACACGCACACACGACAAACGTAAAATGGAAGTATAAAAGGCACGCTATCAAGGAAAGATTAGTTATAACAAATCTTTGCTAGTTCAAAATGTTTTCCGTCGGGCAAATTTCAGGATCAAGTTTCTCCCTCTTGTGATAATACAAAACCTTGGATTTTAAAAGTCGTGTGCATTGCATGCAAGGAAAACGAAAACATGACTTCGAACGTTTCGCTACACTTCCTCATCTTCAGTTAACAATTTTCGAGTGAGTTTTTTGACAATCGCAATAAATGTATGGATTTATTTTTCAAAAATCGTGCACGCCCGTAGCTTTTTTTTTTGGGATTCAACACGGCAAAATTAGAATGATGCCCGATTCAAAAAGCATTTTTACAAAAAATACTCTTCATCTCAATTTCCGGAGGATCAAAATATTTCCCGTCATGGCTGACTTACTGCGTGTTCGCCTTGAACATCCCGACGCGAATGACATCAGTAAACTTTTCTTTCATCTCCAATTTTTCAAAAAATAATATCATTCCCTTCGTCGCCCGGGCACAATGGATTTTCCGCTCACGACGAGGGACGAAATTCATGTTCGTGTTCCACAAGACTCCAGGAAAATGAAATTAAACCGCGGTGATGAGTTTAAGAAAATGAGTTCCCCTCGTACAAGGCGTGCTTGTCACTACTACCATGCGATAACACAGCTGTTTCTTCTTCAGCCTCGTTCCGGATAGAAAATGTCCGCACATTTCCCAAGTGAAGATGATTATTTTAAAGCCTTTCAGCGCGCCGAAACAGACAGGCGAGGCGGAAACCAAAAACTAAGATTAATTTGACGAAAAAAAACAGGAATGCGGGCGCGCATACTAAATTATTCAGCCACCAAACCAAGCGATGATCAGATAATTCAATTCATGTCACGAGGAAATTTTTTTCAAGACTAGCCGGAAAAATTTTCAATGAAGCTTGTAAAAAAAATTTCGAACAAGCTGCTTGAGAATGCTCTCAATAACTATAAGTTCGCACTTTTGTTTTAAATACTCTTCCACCTCTATATCGAAATTTCCAGTTCCAAGAACTGAAGCACATCATAAATGCTGAGTTTAGCACTTTCTCCCGTGTCTAAATTTAAATGGCCACTTCTGAACCTTCAATATTAAATATCATATTTCCCTAGTTTCAGCAAGAATGACAGAATGGTATTTAGATTGCATCTTCAGACACTGTGTATCACTGAGACATTGCAACAAAAAAGTTGAATCTGAAATCGGGCATGTAATCGTGCTTGCAAGGTGTCAATGTTTGATGCACCAAAGACTATTTTCTTTCTTCGTTAGAAGATCTTCGAACATGTCAAGGACGGGAAATGATCCCAAAAGCTTTTCTTCCTTAGTAGACTATATAAACTACAGCAGCTTATTTCTACTTGAAATAGTGCGTGAGAAGGGAAAACTGAGACAATACCAATAATTCAGAAGCGGATCTCATTCCGAATTCGTTGAAACGGCAAAATGGAAGGAATGATCCTTCGCCAGCGTACAAGTTTCATGCAAACAAATCGCTCGCAACAATCCGATTAATCGAGAGAAACGCCGATAATGCTGAAGATTTCGACTCAATCGATTCCATACGAGTGAGGGGCCCTATTCAAACTGGTTCACGTAAACCCCCGAGCAACACCAACAGTTCAAGATGCTTCAAAAGCTCGACATTTATTCAAAATGAAGAACAAAAGCATTACGGTGAGGAATCTAAAGGAAACGGAAAAACAAAGTTTTTGGATAATCTGCAATGAGCCTTCTGAAATAAATTAAAATGCAGATGTTCACAATCTGTGATATGAGGATTCTCAAAGGTTCCTTCTTTCATTTTTCGCAGTCTCCGCGCGTCGAGCGAAGGACATAAAATTGAATGAATGAAATGGAAAAATAAGAAACGTGATATACAATACAATACAGTACCAGAAAATGGCAACGTAACAGAAAAAAAAATTATCAAGTTCACAACATTAAAGTAGAGAGTTCCAAATTATCAATAACACGGACAACCCGAATTACACCGGGTACGCTTCAAAAACACAAACCCAGTGAAACTGGTGGTGAAAAGGGACTCCTGGTTTCCCAAAAAATTAGAAATAAATATATGAAAGCTAAGGAGAACCATCTTATGATGCCGTTAACCGGAGCCACGAGTTAAAACGATAATCAATAGACGACCTGAAAAAAAAAGGTGCTATACCTGAATGACCCCAGGCCTATCACACACGATGTGTATAGAACACTAGCTATAGCTGAGCTAGCCAGCCAGCTTCATTACGGTGATGGGATTTCTCGCCGGGCTCGTCGTCGTCGCAGATGCCGTTCATCGGATTTGATGAATGCCGGATTGACTCGAGATACGATTGTTCAACTCGGCGGAAGATGAAAAGGGGTGCACGGGAGGCGGCTGCGGGCACAGCCAACGGGGACCCGGGTTCCCGGAGCAAACTTCAATTCGCGTCGCTGGCTCGTGACACGGGGCCGCAATATCGCTGACAGGCATTCCTGAACGCCTCGGCTCACAAGCCGTCGTTCAGGCAACCACTCGTCAGCCCGGAAACATCCAACCCCGTGAAAGATGCTAGCAGCTTTTATTTTTGCCTTTCTTTTTCTTATTATTATTTTTTTCTTGCAGTCAGCGCGACAGACACGCACCAAGCTCACCTTCGTGCCAAACGCACTTTTCCAACTCATCTCCACTTCTCAAGAACTGAGAGCCGTTCTTCCCCACAAAACAAAGGTTAATCAACTTGACATCATCCTCAAGATTTTGACTTTCTTTCCGCTGCAGAGAAAGCTGCTCTCTTGAACCAAAATGAACAGAATTTCAACCAAATAATGCTTGAAAATGTCAAGAATGATTCAGCATAATGTGCTCGTATTACAGACATTCTCGGAAAAAATTCAATGCAATATTTTCAGGGAAAGGAAACAGTTCAACTAAAAGCAGCTTCGTTCCTTCCGAATATTCAAAATTTGGATAACTCTGATCAGAGAACGAAAAATCGAAGTTTTACTTTGAGGATTCCTTTCAAGAGATGATGAGTAATTATCGGCGATGTCCAGACATAATGAATGAAGTCATCACCGACATTCTCGGAAACAAATTACTGAATTATCGCAACAAAAAGGTCTAGCTGAAGGAACAGACCAGCTTACAAATTTGAGGTAGTCGTACATTTATTGGACACTTGATTCATTCTCATTGAATCAAAATGAGTTACAGTTGACGGAATACAATTACAAAGTATTCAGAGTTTCAGTGTGGGTCCATTCCGGAAAATTAAAAGAATAAACTGCTTTCGAGTTCTAGAAATACGACGAGGTCTGCACACGCTTCACGACCAACGCTTTGGGCATACCAACAGGGGTGAGCAAGCCCCAGTTATTGGCAATGCAAAATAACTTCCGGTCATTCCGGAATTCCAAGCATTCTTCCGTCCGACGGGGGACGCTCGCCGTAGTAAATTACCTACGTCAATGTCAGTTTTCCAGCCACTAAAAACGAAATTCCGACTCTCTATGATTTGGAATTTTTAACAGTTCGGATCGAATGAATTCTATAATTACCGGTCAGCAGCTGAAAGAGGACACAGAACCTTCGATACGAAAAATATTTCATCAGAATGCATGAATTCAGTACTTTCTCAAACGATTTCACACCCATCAATATCTTCAACAGTAAGATTTTTTTCCTTGTCCCGGCGAACTTCCTATGATTGTTACAAAAGCTTATTTGCAACGATATTCTCTAAACATGTAAACCAGTTCAGATATTTGTCCACAGAGAACCGCTGTTGGAAGAGTCCACTAGCATGACAACTTGAGCAATATTGATTCATTAATCTTATCCACGAAACGGAGGAAATGAAAGAGAGAAAAAAACCTAATCCTTTGCGCGTGAAAACATCAATTTGAATTTCACCGGAAATTTTGGATGGGATTCTGGGGATGAACTGAAGCAAAAAGTCAAATGTTCAACAGAAATCTGCTTTCAACTTGAACAGACGTCACCCGAAAGGTTGACGTAGCCTCTTGAATCCTTTACTTCTTCCGTTTTCTTCCTTGAAGTGCTCAAAAAATAAAATCTTGAAATACCTTCCAGCTACTGAAAATTTCTGGTGCACAACGAAATATCCGATTTTCATGGCTTAACTTTTTTCATATTTTAAAAAACGTACGCCGGAAGATTTTTGTTTTAAAAATCGAAGTGAGCATGGGGACTGTGTGTACACCGCGTCGGAAAAAGTTTCGTCTCCAAAATCAAGTATTTTTTTTTTGGTCACGCTTTGTTGACCACCAAAAAGCTACACGGTATATATATATAAACGAGGGATTACACGTTTCCACGCGGACTCGTTTTGGCACGGAGTTGAAGTGAACTACACACCAGGGATTTTTCTCATGTTCAATAGTACCAAGAGGATAGGCAGACGCCTTCTCAATGTTATCACCGCCAATTTGTACACACTTCTCAGCCCTTTTGATCAGTGTGCTGAAACAGGCTTTGAAATGTTCAGTTGTTAAATTTTGAAGTTACCCCAGAATAGCAGCAAACAAGCTGATCCGCGTGGAGCTGTTTAACCCCTCGTTTACACTATGAACTCTTCAAAGATAACCGACACTCAATTCCGAGGCTTCAAGAAAAAGAAATTCAGTACCGTACTGTACAAAGGCGAAGAAAAGCAGAAACTTATCCACGCAGAAGGCGCGCCCGAAAGTCGAGCTCACAAAACCTGACAAGAAGAACGTCTGCATTCCTAGGATCCCTGAGAACCCGAAGAAAGAACGGAAAAAACTCGAAGTATCAGAATTGATCAACTGCTACCGACAAAATAAAACAACCTGCACTGGTTCCGCAATTGTCCAGTCCAATTCTCCACATTAGAGTACATCGTCTGCATAAATATCACTGGCCATGCTCGAAATAAACATTCAGCCCTTCAATACAATATTATAACACAGAAGACGGGGTTTAATTCTACATCAATTAATTATATTGTGCTAAATTTGCCACCAATTTTGCGAATTACCATCAAATCCAGTCACAGTTCTGGAAGAAGAAAAAAAACCTCCAAGTGTAAGCAGAAAGCTGAGCGCATTCAAGAACAGCGTGTGTTAAAAGCACGGCACGAGAATTTTAGGAAAATTGAGAAAAAGGAAGCGTACAAAACGGCGTTTCCGTGTCAAACAATAATGACAACTTGATCATATCGAGTGGTAAATGATGAGATTTTCTGAGGAAGTTATTTTCCTTCAGGGGATTCAATAATATTGTACGTACTTCACTACACAGCTTCACTTCTAACAAAGATTTCGCAAAGAGATGAATCTGTAACACAATGATTCAATCGTTTCCCACAAGAGACCTTCGATCAATTACCGACCAACTGAATCACAATGAGATTCTCCGTTCAACAAATCATTCGAGGTATCATTATCATTGTATTAATGAGTCCATCCTTATTTTCTGATTACCTTTCGTGTTCGCGTGGTCATTCATTCCTGTATTTTCTACAAATATGGCTTTTGGGGTGCGCTAAACTGTCCCAGCGCCATGTTATGGAACTGGACTTCTGAAGATTAACAAAAACTACTGCGGCATCGAGCACCCCTCATGTCGGGAGGATACGGTATTCTCGAAGCTTTCTCGACATAGCTCAGGAGTTTGAATGAAATACTTCACACAAATAAAATTCAGAAATCTCACCTCTAAGCCTGTTCGTCGACCGTGTGCAACGCATGTAAGCAGCAAACGCGGCCAAGAAGAAAATCGACGATAGAAGCTCTGCTCTTCCAACCACGCCAGTCACCTGCAAAAAAAAAAAATGGTATGAAGAAAACTCAGATAAAATCGAAACCTCTCGACATGCAAGAGAAGCAGAATTCGAATAGTTTTGACGCAAGTTCGTGGTTGCATATTTTCGTTGACCACCAATACCAAGTTGAATCGGAATTTTGCATTTTTGCTTAAATAGTGATAACAGCGGGGGAAATAATTAAAACGATATTCCCAGTATAAGCGTTCTTTCACAAGATAAAATAAGCCCCCGTAAGAGTACTCACGAAGGCACCGAGACTTTTCTTCAGTCCCATTGATCGAAAGGTCATGAGAAAGTTCGCGGTCGCTCCGGAAATAATTTACGAGAACTTCCTTCCCAAGTGTTCAGTCTCACGGAAATAAATAACGTACCTCGGCTTTTTTCGGAAATTTGTTTTATTTTAACCATGATCTTCATTTGCATTTGTATTTATAATACCTGCATATAATCTTGAATAATAACAGAACGAAATAATATAAGGAATATTTACAAGACGCATCACACGACAAAAAAAAAGAGCTTTCTAGAGCCGGCAGTTTCTTGGCAATCTCCATGTTTCAACATCACGAATGTGAAATGAAGAGAAGAAAAGAGCCCGACTGAATCTTCTCAAGCGCTTCACAGCAAACTACTGTATACAGAAACGACATGAAAATTAGTACTGAGTCCGTAGACTAACGAACAAAAGACGACCCACTCATTACAGAAAAAAAAACATTCCATTCCACTGAGGCGTTGAAGCATGGCTGAAGCGGAACCTTGGCTCTCGACGTTCTCCTCAATCAAGCGGCATTTCCAAAGAATTCTACTGCTTATTGTGGAAATTACAAGCCACATGTGACTACAAACCGCATTGAAACCTGATATGAAACTGAGAAGTGCAGGAGGAAAAGTTGTGAAAACAATGTCAAGCTTCCTCCGGTTGAAGGATGAGAAAGCAGAGTTTAGCTGATTCGCAGAAAATACCAACAAAAGTTCCTGGAAGAATATGCGTAGATCTGAGGTCTAGACCTGAAGAGAACAAGGAACAGCCGAAAGACATTCAAAGGAAGAAAGGAGGCGAATTGAATGTCCAAATGATACTCGAAAACTGCACCAAATGATCAGTGCAGATCTTCACCATTGGCCAAATTACGACACTAAATTGCAGCGTACCCTCAGATATCTCCGATACACGCCACGTCCACGTTTTTAGGCGCCCTGTTCCTCAAAGGAACAACAATATCCAAAAAGGTGCGACTTATGCGGTATTTGGAGTGGAGGAAGCGAGCGAATCGCCGCACCAGACTCTTTGCCGCAAAGCACTCCTCGTTAAAGCAAGTATTCCGTAACAACCGCTAGAGCGACTTCGTTAAACGCAGAAAGGTTCGCAAATCCCCATTCCCCAGTCCCCCCAAGAACCCACCTTCCGAATGCCGACCCAAAACGTTCGGCGATTAAACAATTTATTTCGCCATTGACCCGCGCGAGGTGCGGAATGCGAGTCGGACTTGTCGGTATATTCCTTGTTAATCAAGTGGAATCCATGATGACGTCGTTGGAGCGCGACCAAGTCCGGTGACGCGACGTCGTTTCCGTCGGTACCCCCATCACGGTTCATTACGCACTGTCACGCAGGGAATTCGCGACGATCTGACAAGTACAATACAATATTCAGCAGAATCTCGGCCGCACTCCTTCTCATCCACAAATTGTATCAAGAGACGCGGGTGCGGCCTAAAGTTGAACTCCGGGACATGGCGATCATGAGTTCCTTGGCTCAAGAATTTGACCTTTGTCCGAGATAACACATCAGATTAGAGCTGACGAATTCTAGTTTCTGCGAAGGAAATTGTCTTTATTTTAAATCAATCAAACATTTTCAGTTGACAGCCTGATGACCCGTGTTCCAAAGGCAGATGATAGTTTCAAGTGAGGAGCATTCGTCGGCGAAAACTTCACGCCAAATGAAAGTATGTTCTCAGTCACTCACAAGCCGTATTTTCCTCAGAATTTTACTATTTTCTTGCGGTCAAGAAAATATTTTTCTGGTCTATTCGCCGCATTTAACAAGACCAAAAATTCTGCGAATAGTCGCGTAAACACGGTACTTGAACGACTTCTGCAGTCGTGATGCGATTAGAACTTTGGCTCAGCCCTTGGAAATACAGTAAGGTACTCACACCGAGGATTGATGCGAAAATAAATTCTGCACACGAGGCGCGGTTGACCAGCAAACGAAGATGGGTTAAAATGGGTCGATTGTTCTTTTATCACAGTGCATGTATTTTATAACTGCTACCAACATATGCTGGGAACTTTGAACATTTATTTCTAGAGAAAGGACCCTATGTTGGATAGAAAAGGTGTTTTTGTTTTCAACGCGGGAAACGTTACTGTGGATCATTGACAAAACAAACGTTATCGCTGAGACGTACGCGGTTGCCTTAATTGAAAGGGTCCATTACCAAAGAAATATCCATAAAAAGACACAACAAGGCCTTTCAAGTATCGAGAATAAAAGTCACCTTCTCAATTTACATACCCTGTATTCACCACAAGCATTTTGTGAAGTACTTTAGTCAAAAGCGGTTTCTGGATTGTGAAGTTCTTTTCAGGATCGAAGTATAAAAGTATTCCCTTGAAAAGCATAAGCTCATGCTGAAGAATGAGAAACACTGCTCAGCAAAATCTCATTTTTCAAGGCCAAAAACGTCGATTCCCGTGAACTGCTGTAACTCGCTAATGGTGGTAAATACGAAAATCAAGTGCAGTACTGTACTGCGATTCTTGGAAAAGGAGGCCTACTTCTATTTTCAGACAAAGCCGTATTTCTACGAACGGCTTCAAGTATAAGTCATCCTGGGCAATAAATCCTTCTGACTAGCTCATTCTCAATCTCTTTGAGGTTGTCGGTGTCCTTTGAGCTGGATTTTCAACTAATAGTTGCCCTTACTCCTTCGACGCTCGAACTGTGCTACTCCATTGATGATTCACCTCTCCACAATAATGGGACTCAATTGTAATTTTAAATCGTAATTAAATCGTAATTTTTGATCATTTTTCTTTCGTCGTGAAATAAGATTCATAATAAGCCCGAGTCCATTTTTAGGGAACATATCTTCAAACGAAGGAACTGATATATTGTACTTCGTATTTTGTCTCTCCAACAGCCGACAAATTTTCAGCGGAAGCAAAATATAACCCCCTGCTTGGAATAAATAAAAGGAAGCCCTGAACGATGAAGCTAACGTAGGAATGATAAATTTGAAGTCCGTTTTGATGAAATACCCGGGACCCTGAGTACAATAGCGGGTAGATCGAACAGTACAGAACAAACATAAAATTTGACTTCCGGAACACACGCGAGCATCACGAAAAACCCTGACGTTTCCTCGCGTGCGTGGCAAACTTGTTGACATTCGTTTCGCATTTTAGCAGAGAAAAGGGAACGACAAACACATCGGGAAGCATGGGATCTATGGCCGCTCGCATACGAACCCATGGGAGCCACGCTACCAAGGAAACCGTTTACACAGCTCCGTTTGCTCAACATGGAAGAATACAAAAACTCGGTCTCCTTACCTTGCTCACAGCAAGAACAAACTCTGCGAACAATATTACCTCTAATCTTGTAGACAACAAGCTCCTGGCATATTGAAAAGATTCTCTCGGCTTTCACCATGATCACTTCCACTTGAGGAAAAATATTCGAGCTTCGATCCTTGAGCGCATAAACTAAAACAATTTGGATACATTTGATTCATGATCATCACGCAATGAGCAATGGCTTCAACGATACAACTTTTAAAATTGTATACAAATTTGTAAGTCATGGCAACCGATTTTCAGCTACTTTTTTTAAGCGCTTCGAAACCTAATACTGTACTATATTGGTCATACAATTTTTTCCCTTTGTAAATGGTCACCACAAATCAACCTGTTTCAGTCGAGGCGAAAAATTGAATATTCCGTTATTTAAAGCTTGAGAAAGTACAAAACGCAGAAAGTACTCAACGACACGTACTTCAGGCGGTTAATGGAGAATTATGCATTAATGAACAATCTCAATAATATACCTACTCTAATATGGCAGGGGAAGGTTAACAAAATAGGTGATTCTGGAATGGAAAATCCAATTATAATGAAGCTCAAATCGAACCAAGTTCGTTTTACTAGTGGTGAAATGCTTAGACTACGACTCCCCTAGCTGATACAGCGGAAGGGATATTGTTTATAACCTGCTAAATGCCATTTGCAATACACATAATTTTTTTGAANATCTAAAACAAAGCAGTACAAATATATATTCGGAGCACAAACATCTACTCGTACCCGTTCGAATTTCCCGAGGAATTTTCGATTTTACGAAGGAACAGAAGATCATTTCTTTATTCAGAAACTTGAAAAGTACGGAGTAAAAAAAATTACGATCATACAAGGTTTCTCTATACGTTTTTTTCTGTAGTTCACGTTCCAACCAAAGAATTTTGCCGACAACGTCTGCTGGCTGTTTACAACGCTGTCAGCCGTATTTGATACAGTAGTTTCAAAACCAAGGACAACACCGTTGATCAGATCTTTGGGATTGACACACATCCATCTGAAAAGAATGTAAAATAGAACACAAAAAATGTGAATTTCAAAATTTTTTAAATGCATGAACTCTCTCCCATGAACAAATGGAAGTGAAGTGGGCAAGGTTTCGCTCTATGGACCATTCGCGCGGCGACAACTTGGATGTGGCGCCGAACCGCCAATTGAGTTACGATGAGTGGGTGGCTACGAATTGGATCGACAACAAGAATTTTTACCCCGAACGCCGGTTTTTGATTGAGGACATTGTTTGCTGGGGACGTTTGACATACAAGTCAAAGGAACCACTGAAAAGCTGGGTTTTTTTTCTTCCTTTACAATCCATCTTTCTTTTCTTTCAAATAACGAAGACCTCTGCATAAGTAAACCACGGCATAATGACGACCCCCGCGGCAATCCTCTCTACCCGAGGACAAGATGCAACGAGTTGAAACGACAGGAGAAATATGAGCTGGAAGCGAACAAATCCCCGCGTCATTGACATCCCGGTGGCGCATTCGCCCGAGCTTTCTCTCTTCCGTCACGCCGAACCGCCCTTTTTCATCATTTCCCGCCCCGGACATCAAAGCTGGCTGGAATTCATAACCTCTTGGATCTCGAAAGAATTTCATATACGAATATGCCGCCCCCAATACCATCCGGGGTGTGTGGGGGGAATAGCAGGCACTGAAATCTCGAAAGAAGCTGCGCCGCAGCCTT